AAGAAGATGTGGTATGAGTGCCGATGAGACAACTCTCCATCCAAGTCGAAATTTAAAAAAGTAAAGCATTATAGGTCAAAGTACGGTCTTCAACACGGAGCCTTGGCTCACACCGAACAGTAAGCTATAAAGGGCCCCAAAAATTACTAGTGTAAAACCATTCAAACGGTAAAACCAACGGTCTAATCTATATAAAAACCGAGAAACGAGAAACACTTATGAACCACATCAACAAACGACAAGTACTGAACATCAGATTCCTGACTTCGGACAGGTGCAAACAAATTCAGCGGGTTTAAACGTTTTAATGGTACCAAACTTTCACCCTTTTTTCTGAAACAATAGTGTAACATCACAACATAGAAAGACACACTATAAAATATCAACTGAAATAGCTTAACTCAATCAAAGGACATATTAACACCAATGAACATACAATGAACAAATAAATTTGACCTATGATACAATGCAAATACAAAATAAATCAACTAAGGGAAGAATAATTTAAGTAACATGTTATATCGGTATGAAATGTTAAACAATTTAAGAAAAACAATATGCTCGAACAAAAATATCAGCCATTTGCAATTATTTTAAACACAGGTAAATGAAAATAATGTCCCTTTGGTATCTTTCGCCTCTCTTTTAAAGAAGTGCAAGATTTTGAACCTTATTCTATAATCAAATATGACGTCAGATCGTATGATTTGAATTCTACATAATATGACACATCTACCACCATTTCATGGTTCAAACTGTCACATATATGATTTAATAGTTTTCAATTTTGATATAGTCTGATGATGTTGTCTCCAATATGTATGATGTACTTTTAAAATGTAGCACCCAATTGATTTCTATTCTAATTTGTTTATCTCCTCTTTTTTTGCTAGTCCATAATTCTTTATTCTGTGGGTGACATATCTTCTTGCGGACTGTTACCTTGTAACCTAGCACGTAAACAATCCGGCTCACGTGTCGGTTTAGTGTAAAGCAGGGTTACTATTCACATTACATTAACTTGTTCTTGTCCTGAATATGCATTTAATTTGCCGCTGAACGTTAAACAGTCATTCATATATCCATCCAATTACTAGTACTCATTGTCACTAGATAAAACATTTTACCACTAATATAGAAATTTATTGTGAAAGTATGTCTCCATCTGCAGGACTATAATAACTGTGAACATTCTTTGACATCGTATATCATCTTGTATATTATTGTTTTATTTGGAATGGCATTTTTTGTTGTTACCTACTGTGGATTCAGTTATTTTCGTGGATTGCGGAAACATTGTATTTTCAAGGATATTTGATTCCGTGGTTTTGCCAAAGTCTGCATACAGGCCGATAAGAAATTGAACTTCCTTGCCATTTAGATTCGTAGTTTACCTATACCCACGAAACCCATGACCATTTGTATTCCACGTAAAGATTATTTACTTCACAATTTAGATTATCAATGCGATTTCTTCATTTTTTGTGTTTTACCTTGATCTATATCTTAATAGATTAATTAGATTTGAGCTTCGGTAAAATACTATTGCCTCTAAAACCTTCTAGACATATGAAACCAGTCATGGCAACTATATATGTGATTTTAATATTGTTAAAAATGGGGATGGTATCTGGTTATAACAAGTAGAACACTTACGATGTCATATGTTATACAGATATTTCATTACGGTCAACCAAATCATGATTACGTCCGTAAAACAAATCATTAATATTTTACCACGGATGTGTACTCAAATCGTTTAAAGAATGTCATATTAGAATAAGCAATATACACCATACAGATTGGTGACTATGTTGAAACATCTACTGTATTTAATTGAAAATAATTGATAACATAGATACAGTTAAGCTTGCCTCATAGCTTGACCTACATCTAAATATTGACAACGAGGGTGGGTTTTTACACCAAAAAAATTAATTGAAGTTTCCCCATGTGAACTTTCCGTTTCTATTAAGGAACATTTCAGCATGTTTGCATATTGAGTGTTTATCTCCAAGCATATACGATATTCCAGGGGGTTGCTGCTTACAAGGAAGCTTTTGAACCACAAGTCATCGCTTTGAAAAAGAAATCTGACACCATCATTATTTGGTTCATCGTTATGTTATATCAGTGTCACATATTACAGGAGATATATTCAGATTCTAGCAGCTAACATCCCCTCCTGTTTTCTTTCCCTGGTTATGATATCACAGATTTCTAGGTTTCGATAACAAAAATTATTTAAATTGCAAATATTCCTTCCTTTTTATTGTAGTTTGTCTGCACTCTTCGAGAGTGTAGAGATATTTTTCTTTCTATTGAAAATCATTTACCGATATTGAAATAAGTATTGCTGGTACCAGAAGATGGCTTATTGTTCATAAAATTGAGTAGATTGCGTGCAAATGTCTACTGGAGCTGGAATTTTTGGTTGGGTTTTAACTCATTATGGTATTGCTATTGTGTCATATTCCCTATCAGTACATATTTGTTTGAAACTTGAATTGTATCAATGGTAATGAATACATAGGAGGAGACCCTCACCTTATCTCGCTCTGTTCGCTTTTTATGCTAATCCGTTGTTCCTTTTCGTTTAAATATTCAAAATTAATATACGAGATTTGCCTATCATCATACTTTAACGTTGCACCTTATTGGATTCCTAACATTACTTTGAATTTTGTTTTTCATAATTTTCACTGTCTAGAATGGGTTGTATTTTATAATAAGTAATTTGGGATAGTCTTATCTTAAACAGTTTATATGTTTATATGGCAGTAAGACAAATTTACGGTATATGAATATCAAACTAATCAAGTATGAAAAGGTACAAAACACACCCGGGAGTAAAAACAACTGGGTTTTAATGACACCAAATTTAAAGAGACCAGGTGATTCGACTAGCTTCTGTTACAATACAGACTCAATAGCAGTAGTAATAAACATATTGCCAAGTAAGGTACACGACACAGTTAAAATATCGTCCGTAAATTAAAACAACACGCTGGCTATACAAAAAAACACAACATTATAGCTACTGGTAAACGAAAGATTTGATTACTGAATGCTTCTCTCTCCCCCCTCCTCCCCCCCCCCCCCCTCCCCCCCAAAAAAAATTGTTGTTGAATAATCCCTTTTTTCCTCCTTTTTAAGAACACGGACCATATTCTCATTTGTTTGATCGATTGTTCAATAAAGCGATGAAAAAGAAGGACCCGGAAACGAAGGAATGGCAGGTTTGTGGCTATAATTTAATGGATATCTAGTTCCATTAGCTTTCTAAACTGAAATATAAGAGGCATTTACATGTATTATTTTCAATGTATAAAGGAATCACGTGCTAAGAATATCAACAATGGCATTATTACAGACGGTAATGTATAGAGTATGGACATAATTTTGCGTAAAAAATGAAAACAACACTTCATAAATTTCATGCGTCCGAAGCGTTTTTCTGGATTTACCTTCATCGGGAACGCTCATAGTCGAATATTTGAAAGTCAATGATGTATAAAATAAACCGAAACAGCTGTAGAGCTATATGAACAAAAACGACATAAAATAATAGCCAAATCCATTTAAGGTCAACTTTGCTTGAAGGAGTGGAAACCTTAGTTTCTTGATAATTTCCAAATTTAAAAACGGACAATTTGAAAAAGGTTTGTTATAAATCATGCCAGTACCGACGTATTGACTACTAAGCTGATGATACCCTCGATGACTGATGGATCTCCAGCAGCACTATCGACCCATTCATGTAAACTAAAATATAACATTCAGAATTGGCTGATTTTCATTATTATTTGTGTTTTCTGTAGATGTTAACATACATCAAATAAATCTATGATTGATAAGTATTTCCTTTTAAGTGAGTGTCTTATGAGTCTATTCGGGTTGTCCAAGAGAATTATCAATACCTAATTACCTTATCAAGCAATTCATATAATGTATATACGAAATTTAGGCAAAAACATATTGATTGGAACTGTGTCTGCTGGGAAAACAACTTATTTGTTACGGTAGCAGGACACATGTTAAGCATCATTTGAATCTTTGAAATGTAGCGTACGTGATCATAGACCCATTGAACTTCATGATCATGATGTGTTACGACCTCGCATCCATCAGTTCTTTTTCATGCTGACTGCAAACGACCTGTTTGAATCGAAATTTTCTGAAATAAAGTTATAAAAGAGAGGCGAAAGATACCAAAGGGATAGTCAAACTCATAAGTCGAAAACGAACAAACAATGCCATGAAAAAAAAAACGAAAAACGACCAAAAGACAAACAACAGTATATAAAACAGTTGTAGAGCTATATGAACAAAAAGGACACAAAATAATAGCCAAATCCATTTAAGGTCAACTTTGCTTGAAGGAGTGGATACCTTAGTTTCTTGATAATTTCTAAATTTAAAAACGGACAATTTAAAAAAAAGATTGTAAACAGTAAAAAGTGTAACAAGGGAACCACCAGAAATAATCTCTTTCGTTACAAATAAAACGATAATTTACATATATCTTAATCTATGACATGAATTCTAACAAACCTAGAAAATCATCATTATACGATGACACGTGCTTGTCTGTCTGTCTTTATTTATATTTTTTGTTTGTATTCGGTAATATGACCATCGGCAGCTTTTGGGGGTCATTTCGATGGATGATTTCGTGTTGTCTAAAATACGAACAAATCAAATCCTTCTTAAATGACTAGAAGTACGAAGGTCTGAACAAAGCCAGAAATTACCGTAGCAGCAAATAGGCGAACGATACTAAAAGGGCATTCAAAACTCGAAAATCGTAAATACTCAAATCTAGAATCGTTTATTTTTGTTAAAATATATAATCTCTTACAAAACGCATACTAATTTCAGATATTTGAAATTGATTTATTTCGAATGTTTGCATAACCTTAAAACGTTACAAGGCTCGGAAAAGAGATCTAATGAAAACAATTGCATTTTAATAAAAGTGTAATATTTATTTTAGCATGATGATGTGTCAAGTATGATGATAGACCAGATGATTACAACAAATGAGGATCTTAAAAAAAGAATTTGAAAAAAGATTTCCTAGAGATTGGGAGGATAGAAAGGAATTCATAAAAGACCTAATCGAAGGAAATAAGGTTAATCAATCTCTATGTTAAAATATTCGAAAGTGCATGTATTTCTAATAACCAGGAAGGTTCCATTATGTTGATGATACAAGGGGAAAAAATTCTGATAGTTTATGCTTTCTTTTCATTTAGTAACTGATACAACTGATAAATATGAAATATTTTTTTGTAAATCTCTTTGATCGTAAAAGGTCCTCATATTTTATATTGATTTAATTGTAGTTTCATGAGATCTGTCCCTTTCGTAAAGCATTCTATATAATTGTAAACTATGACCAGACAGATATTAGTATTCGGGAAACATTGATATATGTTTACTTTGTGTTCATAAAACCGTAATAACATGACAAGTGTGTTTTTCACCATGTGTGATTCCCAGCGTTGTGTGTATACATAATTGTATTTCAGAGATAGCAAAGTTTACTTATGCACAAATATATGACTACGTCATTTCAGACTTTATTTTTTTTTTTGTGATTCTTGATCCTGATTATCAATGGTTAATAAATGTTATCATAATAACTTCCTCTCACAGAATAATTGTCTACAAAAATAATCAGAAAGTTTGATGTTTCCATATTATAAAAATCCGTTTTCCAGGATAAAATAAAAGATAAAAAGGCAAGATATTACATGTATGAGGTAAGTTTGTAAATTTATTTTACTCTAGGGTATGAATTTTTGGATGTATAAACAACTGATGAGGGCACAATATATCAAACTAAATTCTCATAACGCCATAAAAGTAAACGTGATCAAAGCTTCTTATTACAAAATGTAAAAATGATCGTTAAAAAGGTTGACTCATACTAAAGTGTTAATGACGTCAATAAAATGAGCTACATATCTGTAAAGAAAATTAGAATGGAATTGAAAGTTATAAAAATCATTCGTAAAGAAAAAGAAGAAATTTTCATAATGTATTATTTAATTCCTTAACTGTTATCATTCATGAGCTCAGAATTTGGTCGTGTATGAGCATTTCCAACTTAGAATCGAACAAATAATAAGTTGTGTACGTTAAACAAGGGTGTAAGGGTGTATTTCAGCAATCAGCAATATTTGATGAAAAGGACGATATGATTTAACTATGCTTTACTAAACTTTACACTTTAAACTGTAGACCTCCCACATGTGTAGAACAACTTTAATGTGGTGGTGATCTTGTTTTAAGATAGGGTCATAAGATGATATGCAGTAACTGCGAGTTCACTCAAATCGTACTTTCGTGTTAATTTGACCTGTTGACACAATTTGTAATGCATTTTTGTTTAATGTTTACTTATTTTGTGTTATATCTCGTCTCACTATTTTTTTTTCTAAGACTTGAAATACATGAATTGGAAAACACCTGAATACAATTTACCTTGTACAACCCAATGAAGTATGCACAAGGGGCCCTGTGTTTACAATGTTCCATCGTCCAGGGATAAACGGTGGAATTATATATAAAAAAAATCCATTTTCTATGTAAGGCACATAAGTTACATTCTTATTCATTACACAGACAGAAAAATGCGATCAAAATAGTACAACATTCTACGTTAGATAAAATACATCAAAATACACACTACAATCTTATACACTTTGCCTACGACGACGATAATAATGATGTATTCATAGATTCAATTAAACTGTCGAGTTCCCGTTTTGGCAAACGTTTAGTCCTTTTGATCAAATATTGCTGATTGCTGAAATACACCCTTACATCCTTGTTTAACGTACACAACTTATTATTTGTTCGATTCTAAGTTGGAAAAGTTGAATTTGTACTTTTAACACCTGGATTACATTGTAATGTGTCGGTCAGAAATTATAAAAGGTCACATGCTCGACGTTGTTCATTCATTCATACTATATTTCTTTTTGTGGATGTATAATGTTCCAAATAGTAAAAGAATGTAAGTACAAAATGATAAGTAATTTATTTAAGGTATAAAGTTTACCATAAGTTTTATTTCAGCTGCATATATATTGTTCTTTTTGTGAAAATAATGATGTATCCATAGATTCAATTAAACTGTCGGGTTCCCGTTTTGCATATGATATCAATTGGCATGAAGTAAAATTTTTAGACTGATATTTGATTATATTCCTACATTTCCAAATAACCCATTTAACTATATTCATAATGGTATTGGTTATGACATTAATTTTTGTATTGTTATCGTACATTCCTAGTATGATAAGTTCTTCCTTCATTGGGATATCTGCTGTATTATTCAGCACATTTTACATTGTAAAAGCATCAAACATATGTTCCCAAACAACCTTTATAATATAACAGCTGTGAAAAAGATGTGTGAGGGTTTCGTTTTCTGTTTTACAAAAATGGCATTTACCATTATTGGATTTGCCCATTATAAATAGTTTTTGCTCCGTATAGATAATGTTATGAACAATTGTCCAGCTAATTTGATTTGCTTTCCTAGGGGACATATTTTTATTTAAATTTCTCTATATATTTTACCAAGGTAATTCCGAATTATACTGAATATTCCATTTAATTTCACAGTTTGGAACTATATTTAAGTTTAACGAATATTGGATTAATTTCAAAGATATTTCACTTGGGATTACTAACTTCTTCCGTTTATCGTAAAATTCAAAAGTATTTTTAACATCATAATAACTATTTTTTTTTTGTGGTTCGGGTTGTAGGTTGACGTCTTTTAGCCTGTCCTTAAACGATTTTGGAATCGCTAATTTCAATCTTGTCCATTCCGAAATCCAGTTTCTTTAATCTTTAAGTATGTATATAAAGTTGTTGCTTTTGATATTTTTCGTTTTTTCGTCCCGAATTTTTTGAATTTTACTAGTTTAAATACCAGGGTTCTTTTCATTGGGTAGGGATGTACAAGTATGCATCCACGTCCAATTTTTTAACCTTAGCCCAAAATTACTATTATTTTTTCTTTTCATTATAAAACTGCTATTTATTTGGGATGATAAATTCGCAGCCTCTGTTTGACATATTTTACCAGCTTATATCGATCAGTGCTGGTTTTTTTTTGGGAATGTATTTACACGCAGTTGGTGAAACATCTTAACTGACGTCATTTTGGAATTTTAGAGTTGTGCCAGTTCATATCTCTATTTACTATTTTCATTTTAGGCATGTCTTTGAGTCGTTTTTTGGAAATTTAAAAAAATTATTAGCGTCTCTACATATGATGTTCGGGTGAAACTGTTTCACTTTTTTTATTGTATAGAATTCAAGATTGCTATAGTTTAATAATCAGAATAGATTGATCTGATTCATTTTACATCGTGCTCATACTGATGAAGGATATCTATTATCCGAAATATTTATAGCTACATTTGTTCGTTTATTGTCATTTTTTGGTGATGTTGTACCCTTTTAGACTGGTTATATATTATATTTTGTAGTGTACTGTATCATATTTATATGATCCATCGCCCCGTAAGATTTATCGTTGGCTATTATTCAGTCATTTTATATATATATATATATATAGATTGCCTAACAATGTAATTTTAACACACTATTTAGTATGTAAATATAAGAATGTTTAAAATATTTACAAAATGATGAAAATAAACGCAATATTTCGCTAGACTAACTAGCTTTATCAAGCGTGCATCTATCCAGGTGAAATCGGATGTAGATGATAAGAAACTTTTGCAGCTCAATGTATATGTTGCACTTGAATTTAGCTGCCTTGAAAATAATACATAATTTGGATGAAGTTCAAGATTTTTACAAAATTGGTAGTTGAAGTTAGCAACGTCCATTGGCCAATATTACAGGATAAAAAAGGCCGATGCTGTGTACTAAATTATTCTTTATCTTTCCTGTATCTTTTCTCATCTTTTTCGTTAAGACCATCAGGTTCTAAAGTGTGGAGTTGGTGGATCCAAAAATTTTCTCTTCTCCTTCTCGCCGTGGTGTCCCACTCGGTGTTGACTTCTATGATTTGGAAGGTAACATTATCAAAAGAATGTTTCGTTGAACGAAGATGTCTTGTGAGAGGACAGTTTTTGTTGGTTTTGTACCATGAACGATGGTTATTGAGCCGAATATTAAATTTGTCCATTGTTTCTCCCACATACTGAATGCCACATGTGTCACATGTTAATATATAAATTGAGTTCTCCGTTTTACAGTTGGAATTTGAGTAGATGGTATAATTTTGTTTAGTAACGGAGCTGATGAAAGAACTGCTTGTATTGGCAGCTTTACAACACAAGCAGTTCCTTCGACCACATTGTTTGTAGCAACCGGGAGATGGAGTAGGCTGCTTTGCTAATACAGATGTCACTAATTTGTCACGGATGTTTTTAGGTCTTCTGAAGGCCATGACTGGTGGTGAGGAAAATACTTTTTTAAGATTTGAATCATTTTCTATAATTTTCCAATGCTTCTGAACAATGGAAGACACATTTTTAAAATCAGGATGGTAAGTGAGTACAAGGGGTGTTCTGTTAGCTGCTTTATTCTTATCTTTGTACTCTAGAAGTTCTTGGCGACTAGTTTTGTTTGCTCTTTCGAAAGCGCTATCAATGATGTTGTTATTGTATCCTCGAACAACTAGATGTTTACGTAGTTGTCCAAGTCTAGCATTTTGCGTATTTTCAGTAGAGCATATTCTCTTGATTCGCAATGCCTGGCTGAATGGGATGCCACGGGAGCAGTGTTTAGGATGGCAACTTTTAGGAGAAAGGAATTGATGTTTGTCCGTTTGATTGGTATGAAGGTCCGTTATAATGGTTCCGTTCTTGATGTAACTCGTAGTGTCGAGGAAGTTTATTTTCTCCATAGATGATTCATATGTAAATTTTATTGAATGGTGGAAAGAGTTACAGTGTCCTAGAAATTCATTAAGATGTTCTTGTGAATCTGTCCATTTGAAATCAATATCGACAATGAATCGGAACCATGATAAGGGCTGGTATGGAGCACTAGCCAAGAGGCGTTTTTCAAGTTGGCCCATAAATATGTTGGCATATGACGGGGCCATTTTTGTGCCCATACTAGTACCGTCTATCTGGAGATAATGTTTTTCATTGAAAGAGAAGTTGTTGTTCTCTAGCACTAGTTTCAGAAGTGTAACAAGGCACTCAGTTGGAGGATTTTTTTCACTACGAGTGTTCCATACCTCTTCACACGCTGCTATTCCTTCGTCTTGTGGAATGTTGGTATATAAAGAAGACACGTCCATGGATGCAAGTATAGTATTGCTTGGTAGAGGATTGAGGCTTTCCATTTTCTTTAGATAATCAGTCGTATCTTGGATGTAAGAGGGTAGTTCTTTCACATGAGGTCTTAGATGATGGTCTAAAAATTCTGATATCTTTTCAGTTGGATGACTATTTGCTGAAACAATTGGTCGACCTGGATTGCCCTTTTTATGTATTTTAGGCAACATATAGAATCTTCCGGCCTTTGCTTCGTTCTCAAGAGGTCGGAGATAATCAAAGGTGTCATTGTCTATATGCTTTTTGTTGAACATCTCTTCAAGGATGGTGTTGATCCTTCGAATATTATTTAGTGTTGGATCTGTGGTTAATTGTTTATAAAAAATGGAGTTTGAAAGTTGGCGATTTCCCTCTGCTATGTAATCTGTTTTATTCATGACAACCACAGCGCCCCCTTTGTCGGCAGGTTTTATTACGATATC